AMWMAWYCATGYAYRWAAWMAWWCWYAAACATAACACTGAGGAAAATTTTRTAGGGAGAAGTCAGAACAACAGTGAGTTTTTCTGGCTTTTTACCTTGTAAACTATTATAACTTACTCTTTTTCAGAGAGTTTTCCTGTAATTAAAAGGAAATCTACCCAGTCTTTACACATTTTTCAGTGTAAATCTCAATAAAATATATCAAATCCAACGCCACTGTGAGTTCAGTTCAGGACAAACAGAATAGTTTTATGTTACCATATCACAGCTGTGAAAAACATAGAAAATCCAGAAGAGATTATTCCATTAATAGATCACCCTTATTTGAAATTATTCTGTATCTCCTGAGTTAAATCCTAACAGATGTGAAGTACCACACATTAGCTCTGCATCATATGGTGCAATTATATCCGATTTTTCTGTCAGTGTCTGAACTTTCGTGGTACCTTTATCAAGACTGTATTGTCATCTGACAGGTCAGGAGCAGAGTCAGCCACGTCTTTTAAAGTACAGTCTTTTAAARTAAAGTTTTCATTCAACTAGGCCAGGCTGCCTCTCTCACTCAGTTCAGTGCAAATCAGCAGCAATTTAGATGGCAGTTCAAGCCTAAGTCCAAGAACCACTGAAGCCAACATTTCAATTAATTGAGATGGTGAATTATTAGTGCTMTGTAACACAGAAATCCAAGTCTTCTAACCCAAACACTTGGAGAACACAAGTTCATCTCTGTATTACAGCYTTTCCCAGACACACCCCAAGCCCCTCCATAGGTTAAAACTAACCTACCAAACAAACCCTGGCAATTCACACAGAACAAGAGAGACACAAACCAGAATCTTTCTCTTAGATAACAGATATCAAATATGCATACGAATTATTCTCCATGCATCTCCATAGAAATTYTTTTAGTGCATTCAGGCCTGGGAGAGTAATGAGGCCTGAATATGTCTCTCATTTTTTTCCATGTGTTTATTGGCAAGTATTTTTTAAAAGCAAGCTCAAAATGCAAGYAGGCTTTTATGGATCAGAAGAGTGCTGCTGGATGAGTAGTCTATGGGCATGCAAGCCAGATACTGCTTTTGTCCTTCTGTGGGAACAAGAATGATACACTTCTCTGACATGCTCCTTTTAGACTTAGAATGAAGTCTCAAACAATGGACTTTGTTCTGGTAATACTCTTCCTAAAAACTGAGCAGCAAGATACCACTTATGCTAGTATTAAAATGTTTCTGAATTGTAAACAAATGAATTTAACTAGTTTTTTTTTTCTTAGTATAATAACTTAGGAAAGCTAAGTATGAAATATAGCACCTGTATTCATAAGTGATTTTTAAATAGCAAAGATGTATTAACAACTAACCAGTTTTTCTTCTTTAATGTGAGTATTTTCTTCTTGAACTCTTTTACTGACTGCTGTCTCCTTAAAAAAAAAGAAAAAGCATGAAGAACAGTAAAAGGCTTTTAAAATTACTGTCTATTTTTGTTAATGATATTGTATTAATGTGCTGTAGTGAATCATCACAAGGTTATTTAAAGAAATTGAACTCCTTTGAAATGTCTTCTTACCTTTTTTTTTTCTATGAATTTATACTGATATTCATAATGCATTTACTTCCCTAGGAAAGGTTGTGGTGAAAACAGCTAAACTATATTGTATATGCAGTTAGTAGAAAGGAATCACTAATCTGTATCCATTAGAGATCATTGCCAGGAGGTTTGTTGAATGAAGAACAGAAAATATTCACAAAAACTTTGTTTAAATTCCAAAATACCATTCTGATTTTCTGTTGCAGTTCTTGAAACTGTTTTTCCTTCACTGCAAGATTGATGTTTTCTTCTCCCACCCTGTACTGAGATGTGACCTTGGACCTTATCAGGTCTGTAGTTACTTTCTTCAGTTCCTTAACACAGGAAACACGTATAAATAGTTCATCCAGTATAGGCATTGCAATTCAAAACAGAGACAAATCTTTTAAACTACCCTGGTCATGCCCTTCTTTGAAATAATGTATGGAAATAACAGAATAAATTAGAAGTATTGAAATGTGTAAGAMTCACTTGCTAAACTTGAAACCTGGSGCAYATGACTAAAAGTTTATTTTCACAGGTAAAATGTTACTGTGCCAATTCTATTCTGTTTGAAGTATTTATTTAATTATATTGTTATTTTCTCTTCCAAGAGGTGTATTAGAAGGGGAGATTCAGTTGGTATAGGTAAAACCTGCTTCACCCAGAAATACAATAGGAATTACTATTGTAACTACTGTGTATGTTCCTGGGAATGGGGAGAAAAAAAAGGGAGAACAGATTATCTGGTAAAAACAGGAACTGGCTATAAATTTGGAGGATCTTTGCTTTTCCTGAAACATTAATTACTTAATCTCAGGAGGATGCTAAATTAATTTTATATTAGAAGGTTCTACAACATGATGCCTTTGATTTTATAGTCTTTATCCTCTTTTAAATATCCTGCGGCTTTTGGTTTTTGGGGKKTTTTTTTGGTATCTGTTTTGTAACCAGTTTATTCAGAGCTCCTAGTGCAGCAAATAAACAGCAAATGCTTTGATCTCATTAAATTACAACTTATAGTTCCTGGAGTCATAAATATTGTACCCTGTTCTCYCCCTCCCCTCCCATCCTGGTGCAAGGTAGTCTGTTTAATATCGCTCTCTCCTTGAGCGCTCTGACGTTTACTCAGACAAATAGCAGAGGTTATGAATGCTGTTCACAGATAGGATCAAGAATTCTTCGTGATGCCATAGTGGTGAACCAAGCATTCAGAATGGTAATAGTTTTATCTAACAACAAAGTTTGGTCTGTTTAACTTTTCTTCACAAAACTGGAATTTCAGTTATCGCAGGCAGTATTATCACAGGCCAATGGTTTAACTGTTCTGGACAAAATCATAGAACAGTACAAAACAAGAAGGAAAGATTATGTTGGAGCTGAAATTCACAAAGTTTTACGGAAAATACAATTATAGGTAGGACTTTAAATAAATCATTTTGTTGATAGAGGCTTGAATTCTCATGTATTTTGGCCATAAATAGTAGTTACTAGATGGTTCTAGATGTAAGTGTAATTGCAGAATCAATTACAGAACTGACAGACAGCAATGCTTTGCAATTTTTATATTCTGTAAGCTAGTTAGGTTTTCCCCATCTTTTCTAATAAAGATATATATTAGTTATACCATTTTACTAGAAGTTTCTGTAATGAGGTGTGCAAGCAGAGTCCCTGCAGTTAAGTGGCATAAGGTACAAGCAGCTCTAACTTTGTAGAAGTGAAAAAAGTGAAAAKCCAGCCTGCACAGAGAAGCAGATTAATGGGACAGAGAGCACAGCTGACAGGCTGGGTGCCACACAAGCAGGTGCAAAAGCCTGCCATGGATCTGAYACCAGGTATTTGCCAAAACTCAGAMTTCATAGTGTGYGGAAAAACCTTACTAGTTATTTTGTCATGGGGAAAACACAAGTCACATGAAGTAAATCATGACTGTATTTCTTCTTTGTAAATGGCAGGTGGATGTGTACAATCCATCTGGAGCCAACCCCCAATCTGCTAATACAAAGCTGTAGGCAGGAAAAACCAAAACAAAGAAGCAGAACCCAACACAAACTGCTAAAAAAACAATACGAATGATACCACCAAAAATAATGGCAAAGTTTTCTGTGGTGAGTGAAATCACAAGCTATGTAGCTGTAAAAATAATAAAAAATATTTTTATACATACATACATACATATATTTTCTTATACTCTACAATTAATTGTTTTTACATTTTTTCTAGTGGGTTTCTCTCATTATTAAAATCACAAGTGGTATTCAAATACCTATAAATTAAATTGAATGTAGAAAATAATTTTATCAGTGCTGGGGTGTACTGAGAGAGACTGATAAGGCTGTAAACCCATTCCCTTGATCTGTTGCTAGCAGCCAATACTTAKGGACTTGGCTTCAAAAACACTTCATAACAGTGTAAGTCAAGAGCGTCACAAAAACCTTCTTCCTGGCCAGATATCAATGCAAGCATTTTCACAGTGGTTGAAAATAAACCTATCACACTGAATATAAAACCGCTCAAATCCTAAAACAAATGTTACTGAAAGGAAATTTTGCCACAGTCCATTGCATTATAATTTAGGATCTGGACTTGAAGCAGGCAATGTCAAGAGAAAATTACAACCTCTGCAAACAATATTTCTTTCCTGAAACCTCAGAAAAAGTAAACCTGTGCAGAACAGACCTCAATTTCACTCAGGTTTAGTGTTGAACATATTTAACATCCTCATAACACACTGGCAATTTCATTGAAATTGGAGGTTAGTTTACTATTACCCATAAATGTTAAATAGCATTCACTAGCTTCACATTCCCATTAGGAATAAATGTGTGAGATCATCCAGGTCTGAGTCAAAGTAATGGCTGTGATAAGAGCTGACAACCAAATTAAGATTTTAGTACCATGGATAGTCATTCTTACTCCAGCACTGAGGCTACAGAGGAAAGAAGTTTGAACCCATAAGTCGTCAGAGCTAYTAGAGGTCAGTCAAGCCTCCTAGGCAGATAAAGCCAGCTTTAGAAGTTGTCCAACTTGTGTTGTAGATACCATGACTTCTTTCAGCTCTGTAGCAAGTGAAAACAGCCTGCTAATCCCTTTTCAAAACTCCTCTGAATATACCAGTGCAGATTGTTCAGAATAGGATGATCAAATACTAAAAACCARTAAGAAATTCAGAAAAAACTACAATAAAGGCATTTCCTGCTGAACTGAGGAAGCCAGATTAAGTTTCAGTTGGCCTCCTTTTTCTGCTTATCTAACAGTATTTTATTTTAAATTCATAACCCTTCATGACCTTAAGAATCAAGAGTACAACTTAAAAAAAGAGTGGATCAAGCGGTATGTTTGATGGCTGGAGTACATAAATCACTCTCAATTTCTCACTCACACCTATATTACTCACAAATTTCACTATGTAAAATTTTCTTAAACATTTTTTTTTCTTACCTCTCAAATTACTTACCCTCAGAGAATGTGAAGTAGTTAATTACTCTTGGTTTCTCACCAAAAGCAACAAATTCAGTTTACTGTGATGCTTAAATATAGAAYAAAAAACATTTCTGCTGCTTGTCCACTGCTTCTATTWACACTTCAGCAGCTTTTGCAAGGCCCAAAGRATCACAGAATCACAGWGTGAATCAATTCTGASTTGRAAGGCACCCACAAGAAGCATCAAGGGGTWTCCAAGCCTCACTTCTMCATTAAGAAATGTGCATTGTACTTACTTCCTTCAGATTAYTTATTTCAGTCTCTTGTCTTTTGTTCACTGATGTTAATTTCTTATTGTGCTGTATGGCTTCCTGCACTTTAAACAGAATTTAAAGCAKGATAAAAAATAATTTCACATTTGAACGAATATTTGATTTACAGCTGACATATATAATATGTGCATATAACTTATTTTTTTAAAGTCTTCATAGAACTAAAAATACAATTCAACTACTTTTTGCCATGTAGTTTGATATTACATTGGAGGATTATACCAGGTGGTACCAGTTGTTCTATATCTCAAACAATGAATTAAGACTTTTCTGTACATTGCCTTGCTTTTTTCAATTTTTAGTGTCTTAGGATGTCATTTTATTGGACTTCTAATCTTGGTTTTGTTTTTTAACCAAGTCTTTGCTTGTAATTTTTTGATTAGTTTRATTATTTTCAGACAAACACAGAACATGATGGGCCACAGAACACACAAATAATTGAGTGCACAGATGTACAGAGTTATATWGATATAGGCCACAGAAGAGAGCAAACAGCAGAGAATAACACAGCAGAAAACTCTTGAAACTCTTGCTTGAAATTCCGTAAYGAAAAGCTGAAGATATTTACTCATTCTTGTACATTTTTAGACAGCTCTGCTCAATTTTTSTGTTTTGATCCTCTGAGGTTCCCCTTCATCCTTTTCTATTTTCTGATTCCTCTTTATTCACCCCTAATATTTTTTCTTTATTTTCTTTAATAGACTTCTGGCACCACATTTGAGTACAAGAACTGGAAATACTCCATCACATTCAGAAAATCTTCTCCTTTTCTGCTAGAGAGGGTCCATCATGGGGAGTGATGGAAAACAGCCTTACTGTACAATAAACAATTTTGCAGTTTTGAATGAGAATATGTGCTTTAAAAAATAAAATACTGAGGAATGTAGCAGCTGTCTTCTGATACAACTTAGGGAAATCCCCCAGAAAAACAAACAGGCCCAAACTGGTAAAACTCTCTTTCAGCAAGAGTCCCAAGTTGTGCTGAAATACCACAAATATACATAGAGTATGTTAACAGTTTATTCAAACTAGATTTGAGAAAAAAAAATTGGTTTCAGGCAGAAACAAAAATTTAGTAAGATGCAGTAATTTAGAAGGGTTTTTTTTTTGTCTTTTGGSTTTGTTTTTGTTTGGTCAGTTCCTCAGTATCGTTTCCTGTGTGGTCACACACACAACTGTAGCACTGGATCAGCAAAGAGCACTGAGGAACCTGCCAACTTAATGCTTGGCATGGAGTAGCTGCTATTTTTCTGAGTTTTCATGTGTCTCCAACTCAGTGTTGTCAAAGCACAGCAAAACCTAATGCTGGAGGATATTTAAGATCTACATACCACTGTATTCCAGTTTTCCATGAACACCTTTTACRATTCCAAACTGAGATGCAAGAGTAGCATAACACCTCTCAACTTCATTCAGTCTCTTATGATGCTCCTCTTTTGCTGTTAAGTGCATCTGCAATTTTTGATCCTGTTAGGAAGATAAAYGAAGCACTCATTTAATGAAAGCAGGTAGCTCTCCAAATGCTTTTGAACATAACAGCATGAATGCAAAATCATTCCCAGAATCTCTGAATTGCCCATTCTACATTTAATGATTGGTTCCTATTTCTAGCTAGCAGGAAGATAGACAGAGTCACCAGGATAATCAAAGGATTTGAGCCTGGAGAGGAGGTGACTCAAGGGGGATTTGGCAAATGTGTATATACCAGGTGAGGTGTACGCAAGGAATAAAGAATTCACAGCCAAACTCCTTTTAGTGGTGCTTGCTGACACCAAGAGAAAGACAGCAAATTTCATTTAAACTTGAGAGGAAAGAAGTTTATTATAAGAGTGGTCAAACACAGGAACAGGWTGCACAAGCAGGCTACAGAATCTGTTAATGGAAATACTAAAAACCAATGGATGTGGCACTGTGCAACCGATTCCACTGGCTCTGCTTGACACCCTCATCCATTCCAGTCCTGGGACTGTTAAAAATGACACAGTACAATGGCAATTAGAAGAGAATTTGTGTATTTGACAAACCTAAATAAAAGAATTTCAATATGCTTGCTAAAAATCAAAAGTGCATCAACTATGTCTAGAGTAGTGGTGGCTTTGGTTTAGATTMGTGAAACAAAGGCAGATTAATACACCATGCTTCCCATAAAAATATAAATAACCTTTCAATGACTAATTCTTAATTYCTCAGTATCTATTAGCTAGTTGTASTATCTTGAAATATGATTAAATCACTTTGTATATCTGTAGGGGGAGTTTCTAAACCACTTTTGTAAGCATCTAATACTTCACTTTTATTCACATGTGGGCCTAAGTAATAATCTTAYCACAAAGAAACCCACATGGTAATTAAGTACAATGTATTTAATGAATTTTACCAGTCTCTCATTTTGTGGAAACTATTTAATGACACGTGCCACTGATTTTTTAAAGTTATTTGTTTTCCTTGTAACATTAAGTTTTTTGTGTTTTTCTTGATCCTTTTTTTCTTGTTAATAGTTTTGTAGATACTATTTGGCAAATTTTTATATTAATTATCTCAGAAGAGAATGGTTTAAATTAATTCCTCAGAAAGGAAAACCATTTGTTTAGATATCTAATCAATTTCTAATCTATAGTAGAGCAACACAGCAATTAAAATGAACTGGGCCAAATTCATTCCTGTGTGTAAATTCAAGTTACACAAGGATGCATCTGGCCCAGTCTGTTTGGCTTAGGCAAGGCTCCATTTCCACACAGTAACAAATGCATCAGAGGATAATAAAAGCTGATAGTAATCAAAAGAAATGACCACCATAAGACTAGCAAAACAGGATATACAATACAAATTTCTCATGTTTTATAAGGTATGAAATTAAACACACTACAGCAAATGGAAAGTCATAATGGAAGCACTGGTAAAGAAACACYGCCACTTACAGAAATCACTGCAAGGAATGCAGGTTGAAAATGTTCTTATACTTTCTCTTTTTCCTAAAAATAAATTAATTGTTGTAGATATGTGCTTAACTAATGCTAGGAGGAGATATTTTCTTTGTTTTTCCTGTTAGCTCCCTCAGGTATATTTATTCTAAGAGATTGATGAACATGGAGGCAGCCCTAATTTGAGATTTGAACAGCTTGCGGCAAGATCTGAGGGGTTTTGCAGTTCTTAATATGGACTTTTTCTTAGTATTATCCCAATTCCTTTTAGTCTACAAGATAGTGTTAGTCCCTCTCATCTCTCAAAAAGCTGAAATATTCTTTGCTACTTCACAGGGCTCTTTCCAGGCAAAAAGGAACTGGCCTGCTCTACCTGCAAGAGTTTTATTAAGATTTTAACACTTGTCTAAATATGATTTTTGATAGCAAGCTGCTCTCCAGGCTTAATGCACAGAGAAATAAAGCCTGAATATGTGATTCACAGTGAAAAGGCCATAAAACATTCTTCCATAGAAGACAATCAAGAAACACCAGGAGACACTGCAGGATAGGGAGTGTATGACCCTRGAGTTGGAGCAAGACCCACAGAATCTTGGTTCTTCTTCCTTAACTCTGATATGGCAAGAACAGGAATTATTGCCCTGCCCTCCACCAGTAATAAAGATAAGCTGGGATGGGGAGTGGAATTGATTGTGGCCATATGGCTTGTTGAGGCACAATGATTTCTTGGTGGAACTAGACCAGAGAAATAGCTCAGGGTCAAGTAGGTGACTGGAGGAACACAAAGAGGGAATTGCTCATATCTCAAAGATATTCTGGAAATTGAGTCACTAGTCAGAGGTACTCAGTGAAGCAGAAGGTGGTAATTGGGAGGTGAAAGTGTCAGAGAAACAAAGGAGATGTAATGGCGTGGAGACCCAAGGCAAGATCACATGAAAATTATGCAAAGAGTTACCAACTGTAAATCTTTGAAATAGGAATTTTTCACAACAGTTCCTTCAGTTCTCACGGTTTTCTACTTAAAAATAATTTGGTCTAATTTATACTCTATCACTGCCTCCTCATTGTGTTTTTAAACAACATAGTAYGATTATAGGCAAACTCCTAAAAAAYGAAGRAAGGAAATRAAAACAACATTCTTATCTTAGATTGTTAAGAACAAAACRATAAATAAAGTTTCATTTATTTAACACTTTGCAGTAATTCTTCTTTCATTCATTTGGCAGCTACACCTGTATTAGAAAACTAAATGGTAGCAGGGCAAGGGCAGTTCTCAGGAAATGCCTGTACTGTTGTTAAAATATCCCTGACACACTTAGGCCTGTGCCAAGTAGGACTCATGAGCCATTCYTGGGCACAGTTCAGGTGACTGCTGAGAACAGTGTGGGTTATTTGGATCCAAATTCCCTCTTTTCTGAAGATAGRTAGAGCTTAATCAACCTAGACCATTTGACTGCAGCTTCACTAAATGGTGTCATGTATTTTTCTCTTCCCAATAAAAACAGTAAGGGAAGACAAGAGCAGATTCTACAGGCCGAGAGTTCTGGCATTTTCCAGTCTGTCATCTGTCAGGAAACCAGCACCTGACCRTTTTCCTCCAGTTATTTTTCCTAATTTCAGCAGCAGGAAAGCAATGCAATACATAGCCACACTCAAGTGTATTTAATCTAACAAGAAAACTGGGTAGTAATCCCTCTGTGGCCTCCTGACTGTATGAGTGCTACTGTCCCTATGCAGTGAGGTACAAAACTACTGTGCTGCATGCAACAATCAACACCTTTCTTATGGAAACAAAAAGAAAAAGAAAGGAAGAAAAATAAATCCTTTATTTCTTTATCTCTCTACTGTCTTTCAATACGAAACAAAATATTCCACAATTTCAAAATAATAGCATATATGATAAGATTTATATCAGCACCACAGTTCTTGCATAAACTTAACTGGACAGCATCCTAAAACATAGTGTTTATGTCATATATCAACATTGCATATACTAGACTAAAAGAACCGAAATAAAGGAACAAAATCAAAATAAAATGCTACATCAGYAAGGCACACTCAATCCCAGCACAAACAGAAGCTCCTTCATTGACTCGCAGGTTTTCTAAGGTGCCAGGTGTAAACTGAACAGCACATCTGCTTATCTCAAAGCACACACCAGAGAATGACCTAATCTGTCTAAAAAACCTAACACTGAAATAGAAATGGGTCTCAAATAAATTATTGGTTCAGAATCCCACCTGTGTTACTTTCAAACACTTTGCAATTGGTGCTGACCAAGAGTCTACATGGGATGCTACTACTTTGCTCCCTGTAATGTACCACTTAGGGAGTAAAGTTGGTAGAATTTGACCTGCTCTAAAACTGTGTTATCCCACTACTGCAAAAGATTATAGGAAATAATTCACTTTTGTTTACCTTGTGGGTATTTTTGTTTTCATCATTTCCTATCAGAGCATTTTTCCTAAGTTCCAACTGTACATGTTGTGTTCAGTGTTACATGCAAAATAAGATTTTTAGCATCTTGCCCCCACTCAATAGCATTTTAAATTACCATACTCTGCATCAAAGGCCCAGTACCCTAATGTTTTCACAATATTCAAATAATCAATTAATGAAAAAGTTATAAATATAAGACATATACTTGTTTAAGCAACGTAAATGCATTTTCACCTTACAGAAAAGGTGTTGTCCTTTAAATGTTCTCATTCATATGGAAGACTGATCTTGTAAGTTATGAAAGGAAGATAATATGTGARATTGCCTAAATGTAATGATAATATACAAATAATTTTGTATATTTTCAATACATTTTTAGATCAGCTGCATTTTAGGAATAAGTACAAGTTAAACGTGAAGTAAGAAAAAACACATTTTATGTTGCCTTTGATCTTTAACTTGTAGCCTTATCTCCCAGGTCAGAGGGCACATTATTCAATTTCACCATATTTTGTGTAAAACCACTGTAGCGTTGAAGATGACTTTCAGTACAAATGTCATGGTACTTAAAGCTAAACTGGACTCTAGTTTTTTGAGCTTCTTAATTAAAATCACAGTTTGTAATGGTTTGACAATATTATCTTTATTCTTTCCAGTTGAGCAGCAGCAGAATTTTCACAGCATTTATTCAATCAAGCCTAGCAATGTTTCTGTGGTTCACTCTTTCACTTCCTAAAACAGACAACAGGGTTCAGAGTCAATATGYTGTCATTCTGGAAAAATTTATTCCCTATGTCAAAGGGAGTAAGCTGGACTGGATGAAATCTAAACTGTTCAGGGAAATAAGTAATTCTGAGGAGTAAAAAAGAGTGAGAGGAAAACCAGTTTTTCCTAAAAATAAAGCTAAGAACTGCTTGGAATTCTCYCTTACTTTTTGAGATTATTATGCTATATCCTATCAGTAATATAATTACATTTTTCAAATCTCAGTCTATTAAAAAAATCTTTAATCTATAAAGAGAACAAATATACCAATTCCACTTATAATTCAGTGAGAAAAAATGCCGCATTCTCAACAGTAGCTATCACACTATAAAAACCTAAAAACATTGCATTTCTAAGATTTTCAGATTTGATGCTGATACCTCTTAGTGTTATTYGTAATAACTCTCACATATCATTAAAGTATTAAAGTTGGTTAGTATTGCATTATAACCTAAGCATACTCTTTTCATAAAAGCTGTTCCTTGTTTTTTACTTTTATTGTTTTCTTACCATTTCATTCAGTTTCTTTTGTAAAGTGTATTTTGAGATCTGYAAGACAATAGAGAGTTATTCATTAAACCGCACTTACATTTTTTCTGACAACAACCTGCATAATTAAGTATTGTTATACCTAAGATTTAATTGCATTTTTTATAAATCCATTTGATACAGCAATACTGGGTTTGAATTAACAGTGGCACTTATTATTAGATTCACTTCATAATATGCTTCAATATTTAAATTRTGTAAAGCCACTTTATACCAAAACAAGTTATTTTATAAAAACAACAGTTTACCTGTAATGCTTTTAATGTTTCTTTCAGTCCATCAATTTCTTTTTCTTTTGTTTCTACAGCAAGCTGGTAYTTTCCCTTTCAATAAAAGTTGTATTTCAGGGTTTGGGCAGGATAAATGCATTTACAATAAGAATTTATCAAAAAGAATGTTACAAAAAGAAARTTTTACTTTGCTATCACAGAACAATTCATTGGTGAAAAATTCATGRTAATTGTAGAGTACCTTTTCTTCTTCCATGGCAAACATCCTTGCCTGTAACTTGGTTGTCAGTCACATAAAAACACAAAGCAAACAAAAAAATCAGTACGGCACTAATGGCATTAACTTTATTCATGAAACTTAACATGACAATATAGTTATATTACCCTGCATAGGTACTTCCTGGGATTTTTAAACTATAAAACATACAGTCACAAGAAGTTTGTGAATCTCAAATTACTTTTTCAAGGAAAAAAACTAATTTCTTGTCAATTTTTTTTGTGTGACATGATTGTGATGCAGCATTAGTGAGAAATTCYTCATCATCATGGGCAACAGTTTCAGTTCCTCTGAATTTTCTCCACRAGGTCTCTCAGCATTTGTTTGCTCATCATATTATGGAGAATAAAACGCAAGACTGAAACACACTTTCAAACATTGAGCAAAGTTGTGTGGCAGATGTTTTACCATGGTTGATAAATCTACCCTTGCAGAGGTAATGCTAACTTAGAGGTGAAAAACAAAACAAAGTAAAACAGAATCARGAAAGTATTAATGGAAGCATGATCTACTTTAGGAGGTTTACAAAATATAAAAATTAAAGATCCCAGGAGGAGTGGCTTACTGGTAACAACTGTCAAAATACCATGTCCAGAAAAAAGGGCATGATTTTTGGAGGTAYATATTCTAACATTTTTTATGCTATAGAAAAATTATTTTCATACCAGCTGGTAACTTACTATGATTACAACAAATTTTAAAATTTCACAGTCAAAGCCAAAGTCTTTATTTTGCTACCTGTTTTTTAAAAGCTGCCATAGCTTCTTTGTTTTGTTGTTGCAATGTGTCAGTCTGATGCTGCAGAGTTTCCTGAGCACGAAATAATAAGAGTGTGAGTTCAGTATTATTTTAGAGCAAATCACATCTAAGGCATTTCAATGTAAAAGCTGGCTTCTTGTTGAATATTTTTAGAAAGACAGGACTAACTAAAAAACCCTGAAGACCAAAAGAAGGCATTTGTTAACCTGCAATCATGTTTTTGGTAACAGCTTCTCTTTAATTCTAAAGGGGTAACAATTCTCACTTCTGGAATACAGACCTGTTGTTAGAACTTCTGTAGGCARCTCTTACCCATCCCTGCCTGCAGAAACAACCCTCATTCACTGCCATCATAAGACAGTACTTGACAGTGTTCTATGTAGTTATAATAGAATTTTAATACCCATTAAAAATACAATCCCATTTAAAAATAACAATCTGTAATTCTGATTACAGTAAAATTTTAGTAATTTAACAAGTTCCCTGAAAGCGTTGAAGGAGGGCAGAAAAGACTAAGAGTAAGGCAATAGTTKAAGATTTTTACCATTCTCCTGCCTGGCTTTACTTTCATCCACAAAAACAAGAAAAKGTTGTTCAAGGTCAGGTTCTCCAGTGGGTGACAGACATATAAAGCACACTGGAGAGGCAGAAGCAGTACTGCAGGGACAGCAAATCAGTTATTCCCAGTGCAGTATTCCTGCTCACCACAAGAAAAAAAATGTTATATCACAACACTGCCAAATTAAAATGACACTACCACTCATTGTTTRCATCAGCTTTGTCATGTGCCAATGTTGAATGCCAAGTGCAGSAAGAGAGTTCACCTAACTACCTGTAAGTCCCATCCTTTTATGAGTGGTAAATTAAATTGCTATTAAAGACTCAGAATGGGTGGAAATCCTCCCTTTTGAACTCAGAATATTAAGAACTGCAGTGCTAGGTTAAGAAAAGCGAAGAAGGGTTACGAATTGAGAGCACTCTTGCTTTTACAAATATAAAATGTTTCCTGTTTCTGTGGGCACATATATATCTTTCAGGAAAGAAAAGCACATAGTTAGGATTATTAATTTAAGATGGTTAGGATGAACTCCAAGATGAAATAGTCTTCCTTTAGAACTAAGATGTTAAATATCCCAAGATCAAGGATAGAGCTAAAATTATTGTTTTTTCTGTGATCGTAAAATATACAGAGTGAAGCCTTTTATCTTGTGACCCAGAGACAGGGGTCATAGGTTTGATTGTATTAAAGAAGGGAATGCATTTCCTAGGAAAGCATAACCTTAGGAGCCCTAACTCTGAGAAGAATGTGAGACGTTACTGAATCCTTCATTCTCAACATTTTAAAGCTGAATATCTTCTGAGTATGGGTAACAGAAGTTTCAAATATGTTTTTAGAAAAATTGCCATTTCCAAAAGATTGCAAGTGAAGCTGTTTGCTGCACTGGTATTTGCACTTGCCAAAGCCAAGCATAACACAGAGAAGCTGCTACACAACTTCCTCCACACTGACGTGTCAACATGCCTCATTTTCAGCTAAATGTCTCACTGCTTCAAGATTTCCATCTCTTTTGACTGAAGATTGCCAAGCTATGACAAATATTATTATATTSTCTTGTTAAACACATTTCTAGGCTRGGCACAATCCAAATGAAAATAAAAGCTACAGATGTTCATGACTAAATAATAAGAGAAATTGTAACAAATCAGAATTTATATTAACATAYTAAAATTAAATCTCAGCAGGTAAAGCACTAAAAACATGTAGGAAAGTTACCTTCTGCCATTCAAGCTCTTGTTTCTCTATAACGATTTTATTTATTTGGTCTTCATAATTAGTCTCTGTTTCCTAGTTAAAAACAAACATAAGCAAACAAATATTAAAACACTGAAATGAAGAGAAATTCAGTAAGATGCAAAAGTGCTTCAAGAATCCATTGTRGTCAATGATATAGATAATCCAAAGTTCTAAGTTAACAACATGCCTCTAAACTACTCCCAAAATTATAAAGGTGTATCTGGAAGCTATCACAAACATGTTTGTATGTAACTACTATTGAAAAAATAAACATCATAAATACTTAAACTGAGAACAATTACATGACAAAAATGTTCTCATGTGAAATCGCTAACAGTTATAAGACTTATCCATCATTTTTACATCTTTCAAAGGACATTTATAGTTTACCCATCTTGAATTGAAACCTTTTAAAACTTGGGTGAAGCACCTTCTTTTTTAGAAGTTCTATCAGCTGTTTAATAAGACAAAAACATTTTTGTTATACTTAGGAGAACAATACTGTACATAACTCTGATGAAGGATCAAAAACCCACAAAACCTTAAAAGTGTTCATTTTTTATTAGATGCCTTAGGACTACATGGATTTAAGTGTTCTTATAAAAAAAGACTACCATAACAATAAAAGAGGAGTMATTTGATGGTTTATTTACTCGTTATAACCTTTAGAAAGTGTCAAGCCTTCTTTAAAGTGTTTGCTTCAGGCTGTAGTTTTACAAGATGGGCTGTGGATTGGTCAAGCCCCCTCGATTCTTGACCCTGAACAGATTTAGGAACAGAGTACTGCTGGCTCATRTCCAAGCAGCCAAAACTGCTGCTAGGTACTTTTATTATCTTTTTTGAACTTACAATCTCCCTCCTACAAAATTGCTACAAAATTCTCATGCAGGTCAAATAGTACTCACAGAAACTACACTTTCTGATTGTTTCATACTATAATTAGAAATTCCTCCATTAACTAAGCAGACCAGTACAATTTTTAGTAGGCCTCATGGATATTGTTCTTTGTTTTCAGGACAAATGTTAAAGGGAGGGAAGATATTTATAGTAGTATTATTCTAACTTTAGTTCCAGATAGAATATTTTTGGATTTTAATGGTTAAGACAGTTAACAAAAAAACTATAGCAACCGTATATTTGGATCTATTTTCAAAACCTTTCCTCTGAAATATCAATTCATACAGAGCACAAAGACCCAGTGAATAGCCAAAGGAATAAAGTGAAGTTGTATTGAGTATAATCATTTAAGCAATGTATTCTTTATGACAAAACTTGCACAGCTATCAAGAGTTGGGATTTCATCTGGAAGATGAAACTGTGARCAACTCCTCTAAACTACGTTTGAGAGTTTAACTGCAATCTGATGACATTGAGTAGAGATTGCATCAAGTCTCCTGAAAGATTTTCATATTTAAGAGCTTGATTTTTATCTGTCTAGCTTCACACGGATGTCATTTCATCCACAAATTTATTTTTATTAATCCAAATTTATACTGCAGCTTAACTAACCATTCCAGGCAGTTTACTAAACTCAAAATACATGATAGGTCCTGTCCTGAAGAGTCTCCTGTTGAAGTGACAAGCAAGAACAAGAATGGGAAGAAAACTCTGATTGGTGAATTGTTTAAAATACAGCATGAGGTTTAGCCACACTTAGGCAGCATTTTCTGTAATTACCTACAAAGAGACAGAAATAAGACAAAGAAACACTAAAAGCCAAAATAAACAAATTTACCCTTCTTATACGCAGCTCTTCTATTGTCTCCAATAAACTTGTTTTAAAGTCTAAAAGTCGAATGGAAAGCAGAGTCTCTGATGGACTTGGAAGAGTAGAGTCAAGTGCCTGTGCTTTAAAGTCTTCATCCATTGTTCAAACTTCTTTCTGCAAAATAAAGACATACATTTCCTCTCCAGTTTATCTTTAAGAGTATACTCAAACCACAAAACATGCAAATATGGAAGCTCATTTCTTTAGCAAAGAGTAAAATGACTACTTTTAGTAATAGCCACTATGCAATTACYGATATTTTTGTTTTAAAGTAATGTAAATACTGTAGGAAAAAAAGGAAGATATTTATCRGTAATTCACAATATTCCTTTTCTTCTCTGTATTTTTTGGCTTGGCTTTAGTTTTAGWCAAAACTAGACTGTGATGAGCAGACAGATGTAGCAGAGTTTYTTCCAGGAATTACTGCCCTGCACTGGCATGAAGGTGCTGCAACGAACACATCATGCCATAAAAAAGTCACTGCCTACCTTCATGAAATCAAAGACTGAAAGACAGGCCCAATTTTAAAAGAAATCTTTAGATTGAAATTAGGACGTGAATGGCAGTGTTTGTAGTCTCTGCTTCTGAATTTTAACAAGAAAACTTTCTGATTCTCTTCCTACAAGATCCTGTATCAAAATGTACTCAACTGTCATCAAGCAAGGAGTTACACTAAC